TTTTGGGCAGACAAGAGAAGATAAAGATTGTCACCAAGTCAAGAGTTGGTCACCCACTCATCAAGTAGTCATCAAATCAATAGTTTCCAATTTTGGCCTATAAAAGGAGGCATTTGCCATGCATTTAGGCATCTTGGTGTCCAGATCAAAATCATGCTCTTGCTTTCTCTCTTTATATTTTTTGTAATGTTTATGCTTTGTTTTCATTAATATCAAGTTTATACCTTTCATTTCCTTTCCTTTACTTAGTCAACTTTTATCTTATTTATGTTCTTATTTTGTTTATCTATTTTTCTTTCTTTCATTATGTCTAGCTAAGTTTATTATGTCAAGGTGAAAAGGTTACACTAATGGTGTAAGAATAAGTATAGTATAAACTTAATATGGACTTTAATGTTTGATACTAACATGTTTTATATTTGTTATCTTGTTCACTCTTTAATACTTTGCTTGTTAAATGACTAATCTTGATTTATGTTGTATAACACTTGGTACAATAAATGCTTGGCACTTTCATAGCCCATACTGTATGGTATAACCGACACCTGAGCAATGAAAGGAACTTGATTTGTTGTTAACATAAGTTATAATCATGAATGCTTGACGAAATTTACAAGTATTAGCATTAATTGAATAAGATGACTAATGTAATCATGTTAACAATCTATAATATGATTGGAACCTCCTTTGTATGTGGCTTCCAATTGAATAATAAGAGTTTATACTATACTTGTTTGACATATCATTAGTGGATCCTCTAACCTTGACATTGTTTGCTATCATTATTTAATCCTTACATTAATTTTTCATCTCAAAGTTCTCATCAACTCTTCTTCTTCTTCTTTTTCTTTATTGTTGTTGTTGTTATTATTATTATTATTATTACTACTACTACTACTACTACTACTACTACTACTACTACTACTACTACTACTAGTATTATTAGTATTATTATTGCTACTATTATTATTGTTGTTGTTATTGTTACTATTGTTGTTATTTATAATTGTTGTTTATAATTTGTACAATTAACCTCCCTGTGGTTCGACCCCAGTCTTGCCGGGTTATTTATTACTTCGACGCTCCTGCACTTGGAAAAAGACATCAATCTTTTCGTCATGTCATTTTACCTCTAAACTTTAAAAGTAATGTCGGTAGACTAAGAAAGAATAGATGAATATAATAAAAGATCTTATTATATATATAGGTAGAGACCAAAGTCTTTAGCAATTGATCTAGTAGAATAACTTAAAAGATAAAAAGTATAATTAATTTATTTATGCTGATTGCAAGTTCGAAGTACCATTTGTACAAATAAGAATCCTCTTCTTTACATGATTTCTTCTTCATATAGATGGATGTAGGATCTATGAGGTAATTACTGAGAAATACATTCTATGTAATAACTTTTCCTATCTGATAGAAAATGGAAAGAAAAAAAATTAGTTATATCTCATTTTTTAGGTTTTAGATCAACTTGGTAATATAAGCAAAATGGCTTTCACTCATAGATGTAACATTTATAAACAAGAAGGTCATAGATTGGTTAGATAAGGTTTTAAGGGTATTTCCTTGGTGTTTTGGATTAAAAACGAGTTGAAAATAAGTTTTTGGGTTGAAAAAATAAGAGTCATCTTGTTCCTGCCACCACAATGGCTGGATTTTGGGTAAATATAAATGATATATCAAGGGTTTTGCTAGATTCCAACTTAAAAAGAGAAAGTTGTCATTGACAACGATTCTGACCACTAAAATAGTCAATTTTTGTGTTAAATGGTTCAATATAATGAAAGAAGTTAAGATTAAGTATTTTCTTATTTTGAAAAAACTTAAAATAAAAACAGATTCGAGCTTTAGAATTTTTTTTTGTTTTAGGTTGGTTATAACTTTTTAAGGTCATGGATTGATGAGATAAGGTTCTAAAGGTATTTCTTTAATATTTTGGATTACAAAAATTCTAGCTAATTATAGATGACGCCTTATCATTTGTTTTAGATAAAGAAGACGTTGTTCACCCCATTAACCTTATAAAAAAGAAACCTACACGCATATGGATGGACTTATAAGCATACATAAAATAATTTTTTCATTTATATTTTTATTAATACCGCCTCTTTGTGATTTATTTGGTTTATTTAGCCTTCTTGAAACATCAATTTTTTATTATTATATTGAGTGTGTTTATATATACATATATATATATATATATTAAACTTATTTTTTAAAATTTTAAAAGTTATTTTTTAAAATATTTTTAATATGACTAACCTTACATATAATTATTTTCTTTTTATTTTATTCAATAAATTTTATATATGTGTTGATTTTTATTACATATTAATTTTTATAAATAAATTCATTGAACACAATTGGTTAAATAACTCGTATTAAATATCTTAATCTATATTATTTTTTTTTTATTTTTTTTTGTTATTATTAATAATTTTTTTATTTATATAAATAATTATTGATTTATTTGATTAAATGTTTGTACTAATTTTTTAATTTATATAATTTTTTTAAAAAAAAAGTTTTTTAAAAAATTTACAATCCGTAGTAAATAATTATTGATTAAATGTTTGTATTCATTTTTTTATCTATATTAGTTTTTTTGAATAATTTATAACTTTAATAATTCATTTTAAAAAAAAAATTACGATCCACAGCGGCGCGGGTCTTTTGTCTACATTGTTATTGCGACTTTAGGAGGGTCAGAAAACCACAAACCCCCCCTTCCTTGGGAGAAATCTTTGTTTGTCTTTAATGATTTAAAGAGGAGCGTAGTGGTGATTAATAACTTGGAAAGAAGGATGCATTCAAATCATTTGCTATAGGAGGAGCCTATAAGGATGGCTTCAGTTCTGGAGCCATCAAAATCTGTAAGTATTGTACTGCTACTATTATGATTAGTTTAAGATCTGCAGTTTCATTATTGCTTTCGATTGAATTTTTTTTTATTATTATGATTTTTTTGGCTCGACACTGTGGGAGCTGAGTTGCAGGTTGTTAATAAAAAGTGGCAGCCCCATTTCACTTCTGGCAGATGGTTTTGTTATTCTGACTCCAGATCAACAACGGGAAGCTTCTTCTGAAGTTCTTCCCATCAATTTTGATGGACTATCTGAGGTTTTTTCTATATATTCGTTCATCATTTCTGCAAACATACTGTTGGTGTAGTAATTGTTCTGTCTTTCTATTTGATGGACCATTATTGGTTAAGGGTAGGTGTATGTAATGCAAATTACCACTCTAAAAATACAGATCAAACTTAGTGCTTTATGATGCTTTAGTGAGTTTGAAATGTTTGATTATGTAGAAATCTGGGTAGCCATGGGGACACACAAGAAGTTAGAACTTTGAATAAAAGAAATGGTCTCTTGCATTCATACTTCTTTGTTAATGGACTTCATAAAACATTATGGTGTTTGCAGTTGTTGCTTGGAAGGTGAGTGGATCCTGTAATGATTATTTAATATAGTTGCACAACAACATGAACTTGACAAAATTCATTTGTTTTGTTCCTCATGGAGTTAATTACTTATCTGAACTTTCATTCTGTGTATCTTTTTGTGTTTCATTATTCTTGTTTGAACTGTTGTATGCATGTTTTGATGCCTTAAATTCTGTGTATCTTATCGGTTTTAGATATCGTGAGGGCTTTAGTATCATGACATATCTTATTTGGAATTAGTTATTGTGAATTCTTGAAAATTGACATAGTATTGCAGTTCTGTTCTATTTATCAGCAGAATACATTGAAAAATAGAATGCATGAAACTCTTATCCTGTTATCATTATGTTTATATCAGTGCTTGATCGTGATACTTGACTAAAGCAGCAAAAGTATCTTCAGTTATAGTTGGATTACTTCACTTTGTTCCCTGTAGCCTTTTTCATTCTTTTGTAACATCCCATCAGGCAGAGAAGGTTTTCAATCAAGACTTGTATTTCAAGAAAACTGTCAAATATGTTGGAGAGCCAATGACCCACCTTGAGTCCATTGCGTCATCTGCGGTATTGTTGATTTCATGACTTTTTCTTTAATGACTTTTTTGTGAGCGCAGTTTATAGGTATTGTTGAAGCATTTCAATGTTTTCAATTGCATTTCTGATCAATATTTTTCACTTAACTTGGTACGAGCAGCCATCAAGGTGGAGGCATGGTCATTATATGCTTCACTTCTTCAGGAAGGGCTGCAAGGTATCTTTCTATTTATGTATCTTCATTTTTCAGTGGTCAATTGATCTAGTGCGCATCAGTCTAGAATTTTAATATCTGATGTAGAATTTCATATTAAAGATTGAGTGCAAATGTTTAATACATTACATTTACAGATTGATTGCCAAGTATAGGCCAACAATACCAGTTCTGTCTGTTGTCATCCCTCGACTTAAGACAAATCAATTAAAATGGAGCTTTAGAGGGGCCTTTGAGGTATTGTTTTTTGCTTGATCTAGTGAAGTTTGTTGGGTTATTTTTCTGTGAGATGCTTGTTCAACCCTTGATAATTTCCCCAAATTCATTTCTGGATGTGACATGGCACTCAATTCATGACTTAAAAAAGAATTGAGGGGATGATGATTGCCCCTATTATCTTACAAAATTTATGGATTGATTTCTTGAAACAACCTGTCAACCCCACCCCTGTCTGGCATGGAAAATGACAAGTACTTCACATTGCTTATGACATTTATATTTTGTGGATTTTGCGTTCTCATAGTAGCTTCAACTGATGTGGTTGGACTTAAAGCGCAGGCTTGTTTTTCTTTTCTTCTGTTAGGACCAACTCCAATGCTTCCTATTTTAATTACGAAGGAGACAATATCCCCTTGATGCAATTCCACTTTAATAGCTATTTAGGAATATGAAATCAAGGATTATTGTTTAACCACTGTGTTTTGTTACATTGAGAAATGTCTATCTTGCTTTGCATGTTTCCAACTTATTTGAAAGCTACAGGGTATCATAAAATTCCACAATTTGTTTTTGACTTGCATGTTCTTGACATTAAAGTTAATGAACCTCCATATCAATGTCCGGGCAAGGCAATCACTCATTGTCAGAGGTCTCTTTCCTATGGTCGCTGATCCTAGACATCCTGTAAGCACTATTCATCAATAATTCTGATTTGGCCACATCTTTTGTTCGAGGACGAGAGCATATTTGTCTTTACATGTTCAGGTTTCATTCCATGAGCATGATAAACATCTATTGTGTCTTTGGTAGATGGTAACTGTAGTGGCTAGCATAGGTTGACAACTTATGCCATGACATGGACTGATCATGTTATTGTGTTTGATCGTCTATATCCCAATATAACAGCTAGGTTGGTCTCATCCCAACTGAAATTCTCCAGGTGCCAGGGTGGGATTTCTATTCCCAGTCCTTGGTGTGAATGAATGAAACCAGATTAGGGTTTTACTCAGGGCATGTGCTGGACCTGGAATTGGCTTGTTATAACTAGAGGTATAGGCTCGTGATTGAGAGTACTTTAACTTCATGCCGCAGATAGATTTTAATGAGATCCCTGGACCTGTCTTGAATTTGTTATAGCATTGGTACAAATTAGTTTTCAAACAGATGTCTTTTTCTGGGGTGTAGCATTCATTGAATACTGGTTTCCGATACGACTCTGCAGTCGGAATCTACTAGTGGTACAAATGAGTCTGTTCTAAAGGTTGCTCTTGCATCTGGAGTAATAAAGTCACATGACAGCGTAGTTGTTTGCCAGAAAGTTGGGGATGCATCTGTGCTCAAAGATTATTGAGCTTGAGGATTAAAACATGTGTTAGCCTCAATTTTTTGTTGCATTTTTCCTACTATGCTTGTGAAAGCGGGTGGTGAATTTTGTTCCAGGCACCTGTGAGATTCATCTCTCTTTCTCAGCCGGTTTTGTGATCAGCATGTTTTCAAATATACTTATAAGTGAACTGACAGTGACTTGAGTTTACACCCAAAATGAATGTCATGGAAACTACGTCCATATTTCATATTTTTACTTGATTATAAAAGTAAAAGGATAAATAATAGAAAAAAAAAAAAAAAAACCTCAGTATTGTAATGTGTCATTGAGTGTATTTGTGTCATCTTCGTGATAGATTTTTTTCTGCTTTTCCTGGCCCAAGCACCGTACTAAGCTAATCCTAGATAGGGTGCTTTGAAGACAGAAAAATCGCTCACCTAAAAGACATTGGGCAAATATAGAAGTTGGGGCTAGAATCTCATTTTGAAATTAATATATATTAATTCAAGTTGTTTTATGAAAATTATTTTTAATTTTTTTTGTGTCTATTTATTGTTAAAAAAGTTTAACTAAAAACACTTGCAATAAAAAAAAAAATTGGTTTAGTTTTTAAGAAATTATTTTTATTTATTTATTTATTTTGGATGAAAAAAACCTTTTAGAAGTTATAAAAAAATTAAAAATATATTTTTATTTATTTATTATATCGAACTTGATTCTTAGTTATTGGATTACTATATATTTTGTTTTGAATTTTTTTTTTAATATCACCCTTTAAAATTTGATTTAATTTTATTTATATATCAACTTTGATTTTTATTTTTTGATTTTTATTTGATTTTTTTTAATTGAAATTTTTTTATCTATTAGATTTGGTTTTTATTATATTGATTGTATTTATTTTATATGAAATAATTTATAAAATTGTATTTTTTTTAATTTTATCATCTTTTAATTTTTTTATCTATCAGATTTGATCTTTATTATTTTGATTGTTATTTATTTTATTTGAGATGATTTATGAAATAAGATTATTTTTTTTAATTTCATATTCCTTTAACTTTTTTTTTATATGTTAGATTTGGTTTTTATTTTTTATTAAATTAGAAAAAAAATTAAAAAAACTTAAATCTTATTTTCTAAATTATTTTTCATAACATAAACAAGTATTGTAAAATATTTTTCAATTTATTTTTAATGATATTATCAAATATTAAAAAATAATTTACTTTTCAAGAACTCGTGGAAATCACTTAAAAAAAACTGTTTTTCACAAAACAAAAGGTGCCTTAAACAATAATTTTGGATTTGGATTTAAGTACAAATTCATATATTAAATCACAAAAATAAAACATGAGTTTAAAGGAAAATTTATAAAATACCAAAACAATAAAGACATGAGCCTTAAACCCATATCCACATGTATTTAAAAATAAAATTGAGTATAATGCCTAATTCTATCATTTAAAAAAAGTGCACAAAAAAATTTGTTAGTAGCACAAAAAGAAAAAGAAAAATAAATAAAAAAAGATAATAAAGATAATAAAAATAAAAAATACTATAAAAAAATCAAGAAAACTCCATTATTCAAATACGAGTCGTCACATATTCTAGAACTAAGAGAGGCAACTCCAAACAATATATAGGACTACAAATTATGAGGAAATAATATGCAGCTTATAGACATGAAAAATAGTCGGCTGGGCTCCGTATGTTTCTCGACCTTTTATTTGGTGGCTGATTTTGATTTCTATATAGGAGGCTAGCATAAAGCTAGGTTTATTATCGAGCAAAAGGTTCCTTAGTTGTTTTTGTAGAAAAATAAAAATTATATTATAAATATATCTTTCACCTCATCTCCTAACTAATAAATAAAAAAAGATATAGACTATAAATACAACATGCCATATCAAGTCCTCATGAGAGCAAGTCTTATGCAAACATGGATAAACACAATTATTAAATCTACTTAAAATTATTTAATTAAACCTCTAATTTCTAGATCTAAATCACACATTCATGTAAGATACAATTAGATAAACAAATAAGCATCAAAGTATATCATAAAAATATGAATCTATGCAAATATCAACAAATTATTGAATTATAATTAAGAAACTAGAGATTTGATTACCTAGATAAAAAATCAAGAGAATAAATTAAAAAATTTACTACGAAAAAAAATATAAAGCGAGTGCATGAGGTGTGTCTAAGGAGCACAATAACACTTTAGGCTACATGTGGGGCTTAAAGGAGTGCTAGAACAGGGTTAATAATAATGGCTTCGTAATCATCCTAAAGAGACAAGTCTAGCAATCATTCGTGATATAAGAGGAAACTTAGTGGCTACGACAACAAAAATGAGTTGATTCTCTTGTTCTCTCTCTGTCTATTTGTTTGTGCTTTTAAGAATTCTATTCATGAGTGTTAGCATGGGGTGTGGGTAGCATATAGATAGTAGATCTAAGTTGGTTATTTTTAGGTTTTCTTTTTATTTTTTTTGGTTGAGATGGGTAGGCTTGGACAATTAAGTTCAATGCACTATAAATCTTTTAGGATGAAAACAAATATGGAGTTGACTTAAAGGCATGAAAACATTATTTTTAAGGTATTTAATTATCCCATATAGAGACAATAGCTTCAGAATATAACTAAACTCTCTAAACCACTAAAAAAAATAAGAAGATAAGACAGAAAATAGAAAGAGGTTTTATTTTCGTTATATTTTATTTTTTGTATAGTAATAAGTTTTAATAGACTTGAAACATAACAATAAAACATTATGTCTTTTAATTAAACATTATGACAGTTGATAAAATAATATAATTGTTAAAGAAACAATTATACCTTAAATTAAATTGAATAATTGCTATTCAGTTTTATCTTAATAATCATAAATATCCAAATCAATTACAAAAATTAAATAAAAACTAAATTAATCTCATTGATATATTAAGTTTCTAAGTGCTTAAGTGCCAAATGCCATATTTTGATATTATAAATATCCATATAATAGCATTAGGAAGCCCACTAGAAGAGTTATTCCATGATGGCTTTCACTTAATTTACTACATAATAGAAACCCAAACTTATTAACATTAGGAGGGAGTGTTTTTTTCCAACGAGGGATAGACATCTTTTTCTTTTTTATTCATTTACAAACTACATTAACAATCCCTCATTAGTTTGTAATGAATGTCTTTTCACTTGATAGAATTATACTTATAAGAAGGTATTTTGTAATTTAAATCTTCAATTAGTATTAGAACTTGAACCTTACTAAAGTTATTGGTGTCCGCAGATTAAATCAAAATTTTTGTTGTAGAATAAAAGATACTAGAGACATAATACTATCCAAATTCTTAAAGAGGATTACAACTGTTTAGCACTATTACGGCGATGCGCTAGTATTTTATTTTTATGAATATTTACAAGAAAAAACCCTAACTCTTGTTAAAAGCGGCCTCACTTCTATATTTATAAAGGTGAAATTATACATGTCTTCATTACATTAAACATGAACTTTAAATTCTATTAAAAGCTTATGCTCATCCTCTTTTATGTAATAGAACACATTGAATACTATTAGAATAAGTTTTAAAATTAATTATCAGTGTTCAACAAATACTAAATAGTAACTTTTGCAATAATCCAACCTGAAGAAAGGGTGAGAGGACAGGCCACAACCTTTGTGTAGCCTATAATACGTATACCAGGCCTAACAACCATTAATGCATTTGCTAGTAAATCCTGAAAAACAAAGTCTCATAAGAACATTGACTATGACAAGATATCAAGATTGGAAGCAAGAGTGAAGGCTATCAAAGGAGCAAACTTGTACAACCTTGTAATAGTTACAGGAATGTGTCTAGTCCTAAATATGATTATACCAAAGAATTTTCATGTACCTAGGTTCATAAAGTACACTGGAACTT